CTTGGCATCTGCGGCTGATTTAGTTCATGTTCTAGCCAAAAAAGTGTGGGCCCGTAAAAGGGGAAAGCGAGGAGGCCTGCTCGTGCGTCTTAGGAGGAGAGGAGCGCGCACGGCTCTCCCCGGCATTTTTCTCTCCAACGTACGCTCACTGGGCAATAAGATGGACGAACTCAGCCTGCTCATGAGAAGAAACAAGGACTTCGCCACATCCTGTGTCCTCTGCTTCACTGAGACCTGGCTAAATGAGCGGATCCCGGACTGCGCTCTGGAGCTGCAGGGCTTTGGGCTGTTTCGCGCGGATCGCCATTGTGCGCTCTCAGGGAAGAGCAGAGGCGGAGGGCTCTGTTTCTACGTCAATACAAACTGGTGTAACGATGTGTCAGTGATCTCCAAGCACTGCTCTCCTGCTCTGGAATATCTTTTCATTCATTGTAAACCATATTACTCCCCGCGGGAAATTGTTTCATTCATTCTTGCCTCTGTTTACATACCGCCATGCGCGGACGCGCGCGAGGCTCAGCGCGCACTCGCAGAGCAAGTACTGTGTATGGAACGCTTATACCCGGACTCTCTGATTATTATCCTGGGGGATTTTAATAAGGGAAACTTGAGCCAGGAATTACCCAAATACAGACAGTTTATCAAATGCCCGACCAGAGAGGAGAACACTTTGGATCACTGTTACACCACCGTGCGCGGAGCTTTTCGCGCTGTTCCCAAGCCAGCCCTCGGCTTCTCAGATCACTCCATGATACATCTGGTTCCTGCTTACAGACAGAGACTAAAGCTCTCGAAACCTGCAGTGAGGAGCTCCAAAGTGTGGTCTGATGAAGCTGTGGAAGAGCTGCGCGCATGCATGGAATCTACAGACTGGGACCTTTTCAGAGCTGCCACAGACAGTTTGGATGAATATACGGACACTGTAACGTCATACATCCACTTCTGTGAGGATAGCATCATTCCAACAAGGACCAGGGTCATCTATAACAACGACAAACCCTGGTTCACTGCTAAACTCCGGCAGCTCAGGAAAGCAAAGGAGTCTGCTTTCAGGGAGGGGGACCGCAGCGGCTACAAAGCAGCTAAATATCAGTTCAGGAAAGAACTGAAAGCAGCCAAGTCCCGGCACAGAGAACGACTACAGGAGCAGTTTGGTAACAACGATACTGCTTCTGTCTGGAGGGGCCTACGGGAGATCACCAACTACAAACCCAAAGCCCCCCCCTGTGCTGATGACCACAAGCTAGCTGACGATCTGAACTTATTTTTCAGTCGCTTTGATGCTGCCCCTGACACCTCTCCCTCCCCCACCCCCCACTACTCTAACGACCCACCCATCAGCCCTGCCCCTAGCCTAACAATAGCCGCTAAAGAGATTAAACAACTCTTCCTGAGGCTGCACCCCCGCAAAGCTCCTGGCCCGGACCACGTGTCTCCGGCCACTCTGAGACACTGCGCCAGTGAGCTTACTCCTGTGTTCACTGACATTTTCAACACCTCTCTGCAGTCCTGCCATGTCCCGGCCTGCTTCAAATCCTCCATCATTGTCCCCGTCCCGAAGAAGCCCAGGATCACAGGACTCAATGACTACAGACCTGTAGCACTTACGTCTGTCGTCATGAAGTCATTTGAACGCCTGGTTCTCTCCCATCTCAAGTCCCTCACCTCCCCCCTCCTGGACCCCCTGCAGTTCGCCTACAGAGCCAACAGATCTGTAGACGACGCCATTAACCTGGCCCTCCACCACATCCTACAGCACCTGGACTCCCCGGGGACCTACGCCAGGGTCCTGTTCGTGGACTTCAGCTCTGCCTTCAACACAATCCTGCCATCCCTGCTCCAGGACAAGCTCTCCCAGCTCAACGTGCCCGATTCCACCTGCAGGTGGATCACTGACTTCCTGACGGACAGGAAGCAGCGAGTGCGTCTGGGGAAGAATGTCTCGGACTCTCGGATTATAAATACAGGAGCCCCACAGGGCTGTGTTCTTTCTCCCCTGCTCTTCTCCCTGTACACCAACCACTGCACCTCCAGCCACGACTCCGTGAAGCTGATCAAGTTCGCGGACGACACCACCCTCATTGGACTCATCTCCAACAACGATGAGTCCGCCTACAGGAGGGAGGTGGACCGGCTGGTGTCCTGGTGCAGTGGTAACAACCTGGAGCTGAACGCCCAGAAGACAGTGGAGATGATTGTGGACTTCAGGAAGAGCACTGTCCCCCCGCCCCCACCCTCCGTGATGGACTCCCCCATCACCTCTGTGGAGTCCTTCCGTTTCCTGGGCACCACCATCACCCAGGACCTCAAGTGGGAGCCGACCATCAGCTCTCTCATCAAGAAGGCCCAGCAGAGGATGTACTTCCTGCGGCAGCTCAGGAAAGCCAAGCTGCCTGCACAGATGTTGGTGCAGTTCTACACGGCCATCATCGAGTCCATCCTCACCTCCTCCATCACCGTGTGGTTCGCTGGAGCCACAGTCAGGGACAAAACAGAGACTACAGCGCATTGTGCGCTCTGCAGAGGAAGTGATCGGCCGCAGCCTTCCATCGCTGCAGGACCTGTACGTCGCCCGAGCTCGAGGCCGGGCTGGTCGTATCACAGCCGACCCCTCTCACCCTGCACATGGACTATTCCAACCACTCCCCTCAGGCAGGAGGCTGCGGTCCATCAGGACTAGAACCTCCCGCCACAAGAACAGTTTCTTCCCCTCTGCTGTTGGACTCTTGAACACTTCTTAACCTGTCCCCCCGCCCTTTATAAAGTCACTTTACTGCCCATCATACGTCACTTTACTTCACTGTACTGCTGTCACCTTACATTGTGTGCACCATGTGCACTTGTATATTGTAAATAGTAACTGTAACTCTATTTTAAATTTAAATTTATTCTTTAGAAGTGTTTTTTATTCTTATTTTTATTATCTCTTTTTGACTGTTGCACTGAGCCAAAGCAATTTCCAAGTCTGTGACCTCCCGTTACTTACGTTGGCAATAAAAATGATTCTGATTCTGATTCTGATTCTGAAATAAATGTCTCCCTTGGAATGAGAAAAAAAGCAACAGTTCTTGAAATTGAAAAAAACCACTTGATTCAAGCATGTATGGGTGAGGTTATGATTTTTGTCGAACGTTTTTTTTTTTTTCTTCTTCCTTGACTATTTTTGTGCTATGATGCATTGTACTCATTTCATCTGAATTTTTCTGTCCTGGAGAATCCCGTTTAAATTTCACCCCATTTTATATCCCCACAAAGAAGCTATAACCTGAGGGGGCACTTTAACTCATGTAAATTTAAATCAGCAGAAGAAGCAGAGATGGGGGTTTGGGGTGTGTGTATGTGTGAGGGGGGGGGGGGGGGGGGGGGTGTAGCTCGAGGCTCCAGCTCTGCACCTGAAGGAGGAGCCTGCTCCACTGGTTCTAATGAGGACACTGTGTTGCATTGTGGGACATAGCAGGGAGCCCACAGCACTGCAGAAGCTGTGGCCCACTTTAAACTGACCACCTGCAAATCTCCAGGTTTCAACTGTCGTTTAGTCGCACTGAACCATGTGCTGTTGTAGCTTAGACTGAAAATCGTTTCAGAATTATTCAGAGAGAATCAGATTCAGTTTAATTGCCATTTGCAGTAAAGCAAATTAGAATAAATCAATACATACAAGTCCCCAGTGTGCAAGAGACAAATATACAATATAATGTTAAAGCAGTGTCATCTTTTGAAACTTTCTTTGCCTTTCCACGAGGGATGCACTGATGCATCGGCTGAACATCGGTATCGGCCGATGTTTGCCTTGTTAACCACCATCTGCCATCTGCAAAAAAATGTCATTTGCCGATGGTAGGCGAGTGCAAAGAGATTTCAGGACCTTTCAAAAAAGTCTGAAAGTCAGCCAATGCGCGTAAAGCGCCCCCCTTCAGCATGGACATTTTTAATAAAATGCACTAAGAAATAACAGTACACACACACACACACACACACACAGACGCTCTTGTCTCGCACAGTATGAGCAGGTGATTGTGTGCTCTCCTTACAGTGCATCACTCCCTGTCTGTCAGTTGCAGACACCGTTAAAGTTATTTGACAGCTCCGTGAAGTAGGACCCCGCTGCTCACATAGCCGCCCTTGCGCCCTCCTGTTTACAAATCCCTCTCGATGAAAATTTTACATATACTTGTAATAATGTACTTTTGAATGAAAAATCTGAATTCTGCCAATATATGGAACATTTTCATCATTTAAATATAAATAACAAAAAAAAAAAAACATTGGCCAAAAATTAGCCATTGGCCAAGATGTTAAACATCGGTATCGGTATTTGCTCAAAATTTGACAATCGGTGCATCCCTACTTTCTACAAATCTGAAACTATTACAGATACAAATAAAATCCATATTAGCCCCTGGGTTTCATGGCCACCAATAAAATAATAATAATGTTTTATCAGTTTAATCAGTTTTATACACCGCTTTTTTGGACACTTAAAGACGCTTCACATGTCATTATTCATTCACTCCAAACACAGTGGTGATAAACTACTACTGTAGCCACAGCTGCCCTGGGGCTGGACCAGTTCTGGATCATCTTGGTTTTCCACCAGAGAACAGCGAGTTCTAGTTACCATAGCACCAGGTGTGTTAACCAGTTCTAGCACTTTAAGCAGTGTGTGAAGGTAAAAAATAAAAACACATAAATTACTTACTTTTCATAAATCTGGTGGAAACTAAATTGTTTGAGGCAATTCCTCAGGATGCAGTTGGTTGTAAAAGGGAGGAGTCAAAGTGGTAGCTCCGGGAGTTTCAGTAGTTTCAGAATGGTGGAAGTCCTAGGGTTAAACAACTGACTGTTTTTGATGAGGAACAATCTTGTAACATGGTAAAAAAATAAACACACACAAATCAGAAGTACATAAACCATCTCAAATATAAACAGAAACATCATTCACTTCAATCAATCATCATGTACTAAGCCAGTATTTCTGTCTCTGTCTCTGCGTCTCTCAGGAATACCAGATCGACATCATCTTTGCTCAGACATGGACGGACAGCAGGCTGCGTCACAACAGCAGCATGAGGACCCTGACCCTCAACAGTCACATGGTGGGCCTCATCTGGCTGCCGGACACCATCATCCGCAACTCTAAGAGCGCAGACTCCCACTGGGTCACCATGCCCAACCAGCTGCTGCGCATCGGCAACTCCGGCAAGATCCTCTACACACTGCGGTACAGACATGTGTTTTTGTGTTAAGAAGTTTTTGGACCGGCCACTCCAAATGGCAGTCATGTCCATAATGCTGTCTCAGTCTCGGTGAAGAGGTCTGGGGTCGGTTGAATCAGTCCATAGTTGTCTCTCGGACTCCAATGTCCTGTAGACTGTGTGTGTCTCCCGTGTGTGTCTCTTGTAGATTGCGTGTGTGTCCCATGCCAGATAAGTCCTGCATCGCGTGGCCTCGGTCCTCGGTCTGCAGCCTGAGTCCTGGATCTGTAACAGAGCAGATCCCTCCCTCAATGTGGGCCTCCTCTCTAGGTTTCTTAGTTCTACCTTACCTGTGCAGGAGGGTCTAAGGACTGTGGTGATGATCCAGGACATTTAACAACATTAATAAAAATCGATCATCTGCCCCCTATGGACCAATGGCTCTATATGTGTTTTGAACTGTGTTTGAACTGTTTGATTCTCTGATTTGTGTTGGGGAATCGATAGCTTTGTAAAATTCTCAGACTGAATATGTTCTCTGTCAATGAGGATATATATGGGGTGACAGTGGCTCAGTTGGTAGAGCATTGGCCTTTGAGTCTGAAAGTCGTGATGTCTGCTGTCGTTGTGTCCTTGGGAAAGACACTTAACCCACTTTAGTAAGTAAGTAAGTAATGTTTATTTATATACCGCCTTTCACAGACCAGAGTCACAAAGCGGTTTACAATTGTTATTATTTTTGGGCACTTGTCTCTCACTCCACACAGAGATGGGAGCGGGGTCGCCGAACAGGAGGCGCATGCCAGACCTATTGTACATATTTTTTGTGGTAGGGGAAACCGGAGCACCCGGAGGAAACCTACGCAAACACGGGGAGAACATGCAAACTCCACTCAGAAAGGCCCTGGTCCGACAGGGATTCGAACCCAGGACCTTCTTGCTGAGAGGCGAGAGTGCTATCCACTCAGCCACCGTGCCGCCCATGCCCATAAGGAGCGCGGAAGTAATGTTCGCTGTGGGACGAATAAAGGATCTTCTTCTATATTTACCACATCAGTTGTGTAGCCCTCAGAATGGTTTGTTCTTCAGACTTGACTTTTCCTGGTGTTGTCCAGATGCCGGTGTTTGGCTGGATCCCAGCTGCTGACACACTGTACACTGTGAATGAGATTATGGCCCATCTGTTGTTGACCTTCATTTACAGGCGCTCGGAGAACACCTCATCTTCTTTCACCTTTATGGAACACATTATTCTATAGTGTCTGTTGTAAAGACTGAAGTGACGAGCTGCTGTTACCTGCTCTGCGTTTCCACATGTGTTTGAGAAGAAAATCTGCTTTGTACGGCAACAGGGACTGTGTGGATTCAGTACTTTCTCACTATCAACACTGTGGTAACCAGAAGATTCTATTGTCAATGTGTAATCTTTTCTCATCATTAGGCCTGTCGCGATATTCAATAAATCCATTTATCGCATGATAATTAAAATTAGCTCGAGAATTTTTCTGGCCACAATAAGTCCATTTCCATACTTCTCATCTGTTTTTCTCCTCGTCTGAAGATAATGTTTGGATATCTTCTTCTAGGCAAACATCCTCTTGTTCCTATAAATTCCCAGGCTGCCTCGAGATCCTCTCAGATCAACTAATGCCGCTTTTCCATAGTCACGGTATGGCATGGAGCGGCACTTGAAAGTGCTTTTCAATAAAAAATTGTACCTCCAAGTATCTTTTCAGCGTGGGAGGTGCTGTCAGACCACATCATTTACGCGCGACACATAGCTAGTAACAATGGGCCTCATTCACGAACGGTTCTTAGGAACAGATTTGTACGTAAATCCTACTTACGCGGTTTTTACGAAGAAAGTGGCATTCACGAATATTTCTCGTAACCAGAATTTCTCTTGGGCAAGTACAAATCCTACGAGTCCTCAGGAGCACTCGTACGCATTCAGTGCCGACATGTTCACACGCCGGGGTTGTCCTCTTTGGTGAAGTTGAATAAAAATACAACATTCCAGTGATATGTCCGTCATATCGATGTATGTATTTATTTATTTGTAGTAATCTTTATTAGTAATCTTTATTTATATACCGCCTTTTTCACTGCAGATCTGGCCTACTTTTTAATTCATTTTGAAATGAAATGTGCCAACGCTTTATCAAATACATTGGAAATCTTGCCGTGTATTAGTGACCCCTTCCTATTTATAGGGGGCATTTCTTTATCCACGGGCCACAGAACAACGGCATATATACTGCTGCTGCAGGAGGTTACTGGGTCCGCGCTGAGTCTCTGCGCTGGTCTCTCCTATGGATCTATACGGGTCTGCACTGGTCTCTCCCATGGGATCTATACTGGTCTGCACTGGTCTCTCCCATGGATCTAGACAGGTCTGCACTGGTCTCTCCCATGGATCTATACGGGTCTGCACTGGTCTCTCTCCATACGGGTCCGTGCTGCATGCTCCTGGATCCATACGGGTCCGCGCTGGTCTCTCAAGTCTGGTCTATGCGGTCTATCTTCGGTCCGCGCTGGTCTCTGCGCACCGGTCTCTCCAGTCAGGTCACTCCAGTCTATGCGGTCTCTCCTATAGGTCCGCACTGGTTTCTGTGTGCTGGTCACTCCAGTCTCTCCTCGGGTCTGCATTGGTCTCAGCGCTGGTCCGCGCTGGATCTCCTCCCAGGGTCCAAAATATTTTGAGATTAATCTCAAAACATTTTGAGATTCATCTTTAAAATAATACATAATATATTTTTAAATTAAGCTCATAACATTTTGAGATTAATCTCATCATATTCTTAGATTAATCTCATAATTTTGCTAGTTCGACTTTATTATCATAATATTTCGACTTTTAAGTCAACATTTTATAACTTTATTCTCAGTCTGGTAAAAGAAGAAAAAAGGGTGACTCTTTTGCTCCGTGTAACTCTTTGCTTTAGGCCTGTTGCTGTTTCCTCTGGCGTCTGCACACGGCCCTGCAGTCCCTTATATGGGCATTAATGGGCGGTTACCTATGCTAAGTACCTATGCTAATGAAGCACCTGGCACGCGCGCTGTACTTACGAGGAAATGGGATTCATCAATCTGAGAGAACAGCTGCGAACAATTCAGCGGCTTACGAGTGCGTTGATGAATCCCACGTGGGGACTTCTTAGAAATCTACTTAAGGACAACTTGAGAAGAAAGTTGAGTAGTTTCTTACGAAGTTATTCGTGAATGAGGCCCATTGGTCTGATGCGTCACTTTTTGTCTTTTGAAATGAAATGCAGTTCAATACAAAACTTAGATTTACAATACACATTTATTTTAAATCACTAAGTATCAACTCCAAAAAGGATTGAGAAGAAGTAAAAAAGTTATATATACAATTTATTTTGCCCTTGTGTTTTGACCTAATTTGTTTTTATTAAAATACAACCTTTTTGTATTTAGCAAATATCCATCCTTGTTCATAAATTTACCAAGGTTATACGGATTTACTGACAAATATACTGTTTGTACTGTAAATAGAAGTAAAAGTATATGGTAGGGAATTGTAACTTTTGCTTTTGAACCCCTTTACAGACAAATGATTGCAACAAAGTCTTAATACTTTAGAGATTTCATGACACTTTGAAGCAACGGCGATTACATTTCTAACTCATCACAAGCCAATACTTTTCCACAGCATGTTTTGATTTCTGAAGGCCAGTTACTGGCACCGTGGTAGCTGCTGATTGGAGGTCTCCGTTCTTCCTGCTGTATATTATCACTTGCATTTTGTAGCATTTTTGTTTGTCTTCGTGCTGTCTCTACCAATGACAATAAAACATGTCTTCTATCTGAATTAAAGACACAATCCCAGACTTCATCAGTCAGTCATCTTCTTCAATACAATTTATTAAAAACAAAGTGCAAAACCAACAATTTACGAGGACCAAAATACGTAATCTCTCTTGAGACCTATTTTCTCTCCTGGTGAATGAGAGGATTGTTTCCCTCCGCCTCCGGGTGGGAGACAAGTCTCTCACTGTCGTGACGGCCTACAAGCCAAACAGCAGTGCAGAGTACCCTGCCTACTTGGAGTCCTTGGGATGGGTACTGGACAGTGCACCGACCGAGGACTCCGTTATTCTTCTAGAGCAGTGGTTCCCAAAGTGGGGGTCCCGACCCCCCAGGGGGTCGCGGGAACCCCTGGGGGGGTCGCAAGATGATTTCCACAGAAACAAAAAAAAAAGATTTTTTTTTTTTTGAGCAAATATAAAGCCCTTAAATATTTATTTAGCATTTGATTTGATTCAAAAGGACTACTTGTTAAATTGTGTTTGGAGACTATAATATATTTTAATAACGTTAGTAATTTTGTCCCAGTCATTGCAGCGTCAATCAAAATCATCACGTAACACAGCTCACATCATGCGCAGCGGCAAAGCGTGTCCTGCTGTTGTTTGCTAAAACTAAAGGTGTTTGGAGGCTACAAATAAATAATACCTGCTTTAAAATGAAACGTGGTTAATATCCACAACAGAAAAACCCGGAGGGGGAGAAAAGTCACTTGTATCAGGGGTCAGGCTGATGGTGCGAAGAGAGGGAGAGAGGGCAAAGGAGGGAGAGAGGGCAGAGGAGGGAGAGAGGGCAGAGGAGGGAGAGAGGGCAGCGGAGGGAGAGAGGGCAGCGGCGGGAGGGAGGACAGCGGTAGAACAGCGCGTTAAAGAGGCCCGACTTTTCGGAGTCAAAGGTAAAGAGGTCCGCACATTAAAAGCGGGTGGCCGCTTTATGCCTTTACTGACAGTAACTTTGGAAAGAGAAGCCGCGGGGATGAACCGCATAAAGTAACAGCAGAAAGCGGCCGCCCGCTTTTAATGTGCGGACCTCTTTACCGCTGACTCCGGAAAGCCGGCCCACTTTACCGCGGTAGGAGAACAGTGAGGGCGAGCCGCAAGAAATGCGCTCCACTTCTGCTGAGGAGGGAGCCCACCAAGCCCATCACTGTGTCACTACATGAGTAAAAATATGCAAACCTCCTTTTTTGGGCTGGACA